AAAAAAAAAAAAAGTGTCATATTTTTGCTTCTCTGCATTCTCTGTAGGCATTATAATCAAGTGTCTTGCACATAAAAGCTGCTAAACAAATATATGTTGATTATGATAAAGCAGTTATTTTCCTTCTGGTACCTAGCCAATGTCACTGTGAATTATAAATTAAACAAGTCTATACATCTCCCTATTTCCAGGTATAGTTCATAGCATTAGGCTGAGTCAGGAGCTACAATCCAGTTCCGACTGATGAATCTGTATGACCCTTCGCAAGTTACCTACTCTCTATGGCCTTCAGTTTCCTTTGCTGTAAAAGAAGGGGATTCTTTCATCTGGCATTCATAGCTCTAAAATTTTTAGGATTGTATCAAACAAAAAGGAAGCCATATTCAACGAAAACATAAGTCAAAGATACTTAGGATTTTATAAAAATCACAATAAAAGTTGTAATACTGTATTTTGTATGGCATTACATTATTTGTTACAATCATATTATCTTATGGGATCTCAATATATTTTTATTAACTTTACCATATTTACTTCCATGTGGCCCTTTGGAAAGAGTAAATGATTGATAAATTTTATTTTATCAACCTCATTTTGTAAAGGTTCTGAGGCTGGTAAAGTGCTAGATCACTGAATAAGTCAAAGAAGAAACAGAAAAATTGTCATTCAGTGTCCAGCTAAATAAATATCACTCCCAGGAAAGCAAACACGTTTTTTCCATCAACAAGGATGATGCTCATCTCGAGGAGATGGTCAAAAAACAAACAAAATACATACACACAAGCTTCATTACACCTAGCTATTAACCACACATGTTTGCTATCAGCTTTTGAGGAAGAAGGCCACGTGTCTTTCTCCCCCATCCACCCTTTCCCTGCTACTTTACCTGTTTGTACCTGGCATACAGGTACAAGAGCTGCTCCCTGCTGGCCACCTGAATCAGGCCTTGCAGGTGCGCTGCAGCCTTCTCAAACAGCTCGGCCAGGCAACTGGACTCCTCGATCTCAGGGCTATGGGGGAACTCCACCTCCCCGGAGTCGTCCCCTGAGCTCAGCTCTCCACCGCTGTCGCCGGTAGTGGCCCCCGCGGGCAGGAATGATGAAGCCATGTCTCCCTGCTCGCTCGGTCCCTCTGTGTCCGGTCTCTCCTCGACTCGGGTGTAAGGCCGGCTTGGGGACCTGGCCCCCGAGTCTGGGTCCCGACCCCGAGCTCCAGTCGGACCCAAGCTCAGTGGCGGCGCGCTCCCTCACGTAACCCTGCCCCCGTCCGCTTCTACTCCCGGGCGTTTAGGCAGTCTCCCCGACCCTCTGCCGCTCCGCCCAGCCGACCCGGTCTCCTCTGGCTTCCCTCCGGCCAACAGCGCTCTCTGGCTGGCCTCGGGCCCCTCCAACGGCACGGGGGTCGAGGGCGGGGGATGCGAGCGAGCGTAACGCGCGGGTGGCGACGGGCCGGGGGGGCGGGGCGGCGTGCGTGCCGGCTGCGCGCGCCTAGGTGGGGCGTGCTCTGCGCTGGCGGGGAAGCGTGGGTGACCATACGCCGCACGCCCCTCCCTGCCGGAGGAGAGGCGGTGCCGTCAGCCGTTGGGGCGTCTGTTAATCGTTTCGCTGAAATTAGCAGTCTCGAGCTCCGGAGCCCGCCACCGGGATGGGTCCCCGGGGGGGATGGGGGGGGGAAGGAGGTCGTCCGTGTGGTGGTGTAGCGGTGAGCGCAGAGTCGCGGGAAACTCAGGGATGAGGACTAAGGTTCCGCCTGCCCCAGATTAAGCGCCAAACGCCCCCAAACAGTCTTGCACACGCATCTGTTGCCAGCGCGTTGGGTTCTGTGTTGAATAATGAGAAACTGCGACATGGGGCTGTCCCGCCCCACGGTGTGACTGGTGAGTGGAATCACTCCTTTACGTATTTTGCCGTCCACACCTTCGGAGCCCGCACCTCCCCGGGATCTCAGAGTAGGGTTTGCGGGGTGAGGGGCGCGCCCTTCTTAGCCCAGTTCTCATCCCGAGCTCTGCCTTTGCCACTGTGCTTTGTAGACACTATAAATATGTGAAACCAGAAATACGTCACAGTTCTGCCCTAGAGGAACGTACGAAACTTTTGAAACTCTTAACATTATGAGTGGTTATGACCTAGATGTTAAACACGACAACACACTATATATTCATTCAGTACTCGAAACAATGTAATGAGCACTGTAAGAAGAGGGCAAAGAAAGTGGTGTAAAGAATGGTTATTGACCGGGGTTAGGCTTGCAAGAGGTGGACAGACGGCTTGACAGGATGCGGAAGTAATGAGAGAACACAGGAAGGTGAGAAAGCTTGGATCAGGATTCAACAAACATTCTTAAGTCTCCAGAAATTTCCACTGTTAGCCCCTGCTGTCAAGGTGCTCATAATCCAGTCAAAGGAATGTTTAATGACCAAATTCTGGACATTAAAAAGTGATTAACAATAGTGTATTGAGGACTTGATCCTTACTACATAGGGTAGGTAGTCTTATTTTACCCTTAGGAAATCAGCACAGAGTGGTTAAGTAACCTGTCAAAGGCTGCACAGCTAGTAAGTGGAGGAGCAAGGAAACAGAAGTTAGCCTGCGTGTGAGGTAATAATGGACGATGAACTCGAAAAGTAGACTGAAGGAGAGATGCATGGACTTTTATATCTTTCTGTTTCTAGAATTTTTATTAAAGTGAGAATTGATTACTGTCAACTGCTTTTTTGACACCTTTGGAGATTATCTGCTTTTCTCTAGTCTTCGAAAGGAATTATATTAACAAGAGTTTTTATTTTAATGAACTATATTAACGAAAAATATATTTGGGATTTAATGAATTATATAGTAACTAACATTGGTAAATTAATATGCATCAATTCAAAATTCCTCCTAGTTTTTGAGCATAGCTTCTGTTACTGGAATAAACCCATTCTGGTCCTCGTTTGGTTGTTTTTTTAAAAAAATTATTTGTAGGTTCAGTTTGCTAATAGTTTATTAACTTTACATCTCCATTTAAAGATGTCATTAACCTATATTTTTTATTTTGTTCTATACTTTCTCAATTTTGTATCAGGTAATAGAATCCTTGTAGAATGCATTTAGAAGTTTTCATCTTTTCCTGTATTCTGGGACAGTTTACATAACATGGTTTCCCATGTTCTCTTACACTGCTGGTGTAAGCATAAATTGGTACAACCACTGTGGAAAAATGTTCAGCACTATCTACTAAAGCTGAACATAAATATACAGCAATTCGACTCGTCCCCAGTGGGAGTATATACCTGGCATTCACCAAAACATGTACAAAAACATTCCTAGCAGCACTATGAACTAATTTCTAATTGCTCCAAACTGGAAGCTCCCGAATGTCCATCAACACTAGAATGGATAAACTATGGTGTGTTTATGTGATGGAATACTATTCATCAGTGAGAATGAACTAATTACAGTGACACAGAACAACGTGAATGAATCTCAAACATTATGTTGAATCCAGGAAGCCTATACTCCAAAAAGTATATATTACATGTTTCTAGTCATAAAAAGTTCAAAATCACGCAAAACTAATCTGTGGTGTTAGGGTCAGGAGAGTGGGTGACCTTAGGGTTGGTGATCTGCATGAAGGGGACTTCTAAATGTTGGATATGTTGTTTCTTTGTTGTTTTGTTGTTGTTGTTGAGATGAAGTCTCACTCTTTGTTGCCCAGGCTGGAGTGCAATGGCACGATCTCGGCTCACTGCAACCTCCACCTCCCAGGTTCAAGCAATTCTCCTGCCTCAGCCTCCTGAGTAATTGCGATTACAGGTGCCTGCCACCACGCCTGGCTAATTTTTGTATTTTTAGTAGAGATGGGGTTTCACCATGTTGGCCAGGATGGTCTCAAACTCCTGTTATAATTTATGTACTTTTCTGTATGTAACTTATATTTGAATGAAAAATTTATTATAAAAATAACATGTAAGAAAGAAAATGGAAAGAGTCCTTAACATTCAGAAGCTGGCCCAGCACTCACAGCTAGGTCTTGTTATTCTCCTGTTAGATGGAAATAATCCCACAAAATCGCAACCTCAGACAAGGTCACTCTGAAATCACGATACAATGATAAAAAAAAAAAAACCACTTCATTAAGCTTTTCTAACTACAGACAAAAAAGGTCACTTTACCAACTGCAAAATACAACACCTTTTTCTTGACCAAAACAAATAACTACTACTTCTTTACAAATTACAACTTTATTCTCATGCTAGTCTCTTCTCTATATAGATAAAATTGAGATGCCCACGATCGGAATCTTGTTACAGTGGGTAGCTAGTCAGGCAACCATCAGGTGATGGTCAAGCAGTTGTTAACTGTCCACTAAAATAATAATTGGTCACAGCGGGCACCAGGGACCAGGCGTCTCCAGATAGAAAACACCTGAAACTAGTGATCAGCAGCTTCCCAGTGAGATCTCAGGAGAGTTGGGTGAGTGGGCTCAAGCTTGCGAATGCGGACAGCCCACCCCAAGGAAAGGATCAGGGAAGAAGAAATGCAAGACCCCAAAAGTAAGCCAATGTATAAAACCCCAAGGCCAGGCACACAGTGGCTCACGCCTGTAATCCCAGCCACTCTGGGGGGGCCAAGACGGGCAGATCACTTGAGGTCAGGTGTTTGAGACCAGCCTGGCCAATGTGGTGAAACCCTATCTCTACTGAAAATACCAAAAAAAAAAAAAAAAAAAAAAATTAGCTACTCAGGAGGCTGAGGCACGAGAATTGCTTGAACCTGGGAGGTGCAGGTTGCAAGCCAAGATCTCGCTACTGCTCTCCAGCCTGGGCAACGGAGCAAGCGTCTGTCTCAAAACAAAACAAAACCCAAGTCAAAATATCAAGCTGCATATTTGCCTTTCCGGTCGCCTGTTTGGCTCTCTTCCAGGTATACTTTCCTTTTCGTTCCTGCTCTAAAGCTTTTAATAAACTGTTACTCCTGCTCTAAAACTTGCCTTGGTCTCTCCTTCTGCCTTATGCCCCTCAGTTGAATCCTTTATTCTGAGGAGGCCAGAATTGAGGTTGCTGCAGACCCGTAGGGATTTGCCACTGGTAACATATTTTGATGTGACACATATATTATATGTCTCGGATACGTTTCCCTGCTGACACAATCATAGACTTGGCCCAGCTTTCTGACTGCATCCAATCTAGAGCATAGTCCCGCTTCCTTAGACTCTCCCCCAAATTATCACAAAGCCCAAATCCTATACTATGTTCTTTCTTAACACCCTCTTACCACGGTAGCCCATGCTTCCTCGAGGTGTGTGTTCCTCCTCACTGCAACCAGAAATAATTCCAACTTGGTTAACTACAGATGCGTTCCTGGAGATCTCTGCCCGAAGAACATGGACACCTGAGAAGGTTTTATTCCTTGAAGAGTCTATCTGGTGACACTGAGGAGATAGACTTTTTACCATTAGTGTTTCCATTCAGGTATTTCTTGGGAAAGATAGTACACTTGAGCCCAGAACAACACAAGTTTGAACTCTGTGCATACACTTATACATGGGTTTTTTTCTCTACTTATTGGACTGGAAAATGTTTTGGAGATTTGCGATAATTTAAAAAACACAGATAAACTGTATAGCCTAGAAATATTGGAAAATTAAGAAAAAGGCATGCCGAATGCATAAAATATGTAGATACTATTTTATCATTTAATACCATAAGATATACACAAATATAATTTTTTTTTGAGATGGAGCCTTGCTCTTGTGGCCCAGGCTGGAGTGCAATGGCATGATCTCAGCTCACTGCAACCTCTGCCTCCTGGGTTCAAGCGATTCTCCTGTGTCAGCCTCCTGAGTAGCTGGAATCACAGGCGCCCATCACCACACCCAGCTAATTTTTGTATTTTTAGTAGAGACGGGGTTTCACCATGTTGGTCAGGCTGGGCTTGAACTCCTGACCTCAGGTGATCCTCAGCCTCCCAAAGTGCTGGGATTACAGGTGTAAGCCACTGCACCCACCCCACAAATGTATTATAAAAAGTTAAAATTTATCAAAACACACAAAAACACAGACGATGGCACCATTCACAGTCGAGAGAAACTGAAACAAACATAAAAATGCAGCATTAAATCATAACTGTGTGTAACTCATACATACTGTACTGCTGTACTAATTTCCTGGCACCTCTTGTTGCTATTGCAGTGAGTTCAAGTGTTTTGAGAGTACCCACTTAAGGGCCGGGTGCTGTGGCTCATGCCTGTAATCCCAGCATTTTGGGAGACTGAGGCAGGTGGATCACCTGAGGTCAGGAGTTCGAGACCAGCCTGACCAACATGGTGAAACCCTGTCTCTACTAAAAATACAAAAATTACCTGGGCATGGTGGTACATGCCTGTAATCCCAGCTACTCAGGAGGCTGAAGAATGAGAATTGCTTGAACCTGGGAGGTGGAGGTTGCAGTGAGCCAAGATGGCGCCACTGCACTTCAGCCTGGGTGACAGAGCAAGACTCTGTCTCAAAAAAAAAAAAAAAAAAAAAAAAAAAAAAAAAAAAAAAAAATTAACAAAAAAAAAAAAAAAAAAAAAAAAAAGAGTATCCACTTAAAACACTTCGTGTTGTTAATCATCTCCACAAGAGCAGTTGTCTCTCCAGTAAATTGTGTATCATAGTAAAAAGTGATCCATCAGGGTTCCTGTGTATTTTTCGTTGTGTTGAGTGTACTACCATAAACCTTGAATAACACTGTGGTACATAAAGCGCCACTAGTGATGCTGTAAGTGCTCCCA